TTCCGATTTTTTGTTGGAGGCTAAGATACGTGTTTTTAACTTTAAAACCTGAAATTAAAGTCTGCTGGCAGTTTAAGCAAGCCGAATTTTCATCTTTTGGATTACTTCTTTCAATTATTTACCACGGAAGATGTCTGGCTTACTCTAGTTGTCTCCATTCAGGTATCTTTATTTCAGTATGTAACTCAGTCTGTACGAAGAGAACTCATCGGCTACGGATACCGAACGTGAACAAATCTCAGCCGATTAATCTCCTTTGGGGACTTGAAATCATGTGACTATTGATCTTTATATCATACAAGAATTAGTCGATTTACTTATCAAATAGAGGTGCTGTCATCACCACCTTTTGCAGCTAAAAGTAGAGGTGGAGAAGAAACTCTAGTTAGCCAGAGTGATACCTCGTAGGAGGTCATGGGACGGCTACAGTTAACGGTATCGTTGCCCCTGTACGCAATCCAGTCTAGTCACAGGGGTCCACACTTTTGCATTATATTTTCATTATTTGGCTTCTAAGTTATATTTCCCAGGAAAAGCAGGCCACAAATAAGGCGAAAACAAATTAATATATTTCGATTATTTTTAAAGGCCACCGTTAGTTTTAAACTTATCTGCTCCTATACAATGTTTGAAAAGGAGTATAAAAATTAGTCCAACAATCCAACTCAATTTCTATTATTGAGGGGCTGATATAGATAATCCCATTAACGAGGAGCTCTTCGTGACTACTTCCACGTCTACTTGATCAGCCAGGCCTAACAAAAGCTACCATTGTCCGGGATTCTCTTACCCTTGTAAGTGAACACCATCCAACTAGTCAAAATATTTCCCGCAGGTGCCGTTATACTGGACAATGCAACAGTCGTCTATTTTTAATCCGTTTGCTAGACAACGAACTGTTCCGTCATCAGTTACCCTGAAGTATCAATGTGTAGCATTATTCGAAGATGAAAACGGCTCACAGCGTTACAGAGTCATTGAGGGAAAATGTTACCCTTTGTTTTGTGAGTATTTTTTGAGAAAACTTGATTATTTATTTCACTGCTTAAAATATTCACCAAAAAACCTGAAGTAGCCTATCATCAATGGAATGCAGAATGAAGCGTGTGGTGATTTTCACATGAAAAATTAATCAGTATATAAAAAATAAAGCATCAGTTCTATTATTTACCTAGTTCATTAGTCCTGCCAATTTAATAAAGTCACTTTTCTAAGCCGTAAACCCAAGGTATGTGTTTATTGTTCTATAAACATGCCAGAGCACGTCAGTTGTTACTTCACCAGTGGTTTTGTTGACGGTCGCTCTGAATGTATTTTGTTATTTTTCGTCAAAGGGCTGAAATATGTACACGTTGACGTATAACAATGAGTGTCAAGCTCAGACTAACCGAATCAACGCCGCATCCCTGCCTATTGAACTGGAGAACATCGAGTGCTTGCCTTCGTAACGCGTAGAGATGGGTGTGGAGGGGTGTAGATTGAAATTGGTGGGTAGAGAACATGAAAAACGAAGACTATGGAACGCCATGTTTGAGCCGCAGACTTGCTGAATATAGCAACTATACTCCATGGACTCAATTCATGAAGGCCGTTAATCAAGTATCTGGATATCCAAGCTCGGTTTTTCTGTGAATATGGCTTTCTATACCGGAACTAAATGTATACCGCTGTAGATACATTTTTTCTCTAAACTGAACTTTCCTACCTGTGAAAATGCAGTACCGAAGCATAGCATGAAAGTTCACAGAAGAGGAAATACTGACACAAGAGTTTGATGAAGACGCTCTGGTTGTGCTTTAGCATTCACAATTCAAAATTACGCATTATCAGTCTGGACAAGGAGGTATTAGGATTCCGTTCTAACACTCAGGAAAATTGAAGAACAAGATATATTTTAAAATCCATCAAAGGGACGTGAACCATTGTATTCTATGCATATCCTGATGAATAATATATATGTAGCCGTTTAGCAAACAGCGCGTAATAGTGGACTACAATGGCAATACTGCCAAACATAAGCCGAGGTCACATTTTAAACGCTTCCTGTCATTAACGCTTCTTTTTGGTCTGAATAGACCCAGCTGGTTAGCCTAAAACACAATTTTTCATGGAAACTGCCACGTAGTTTGTTCAAGATGATGAAAAAGAACTAAAGGACAAACCAAATCTATTCATGTCACAAGATGTCTCGGGTTCTATTGCTTATAGTTGTTTTGCTAATGTCCAAATCATTCAACCACGGAAATGTCAAATTTCTTCGCAACTTTGCTGAACAACTTCTCGTCCTTAATGATGGAGACGCCTGGAGATGATGCTCGTCATACATTTTCGACGTACCAATAAGACAGTATCCGTCATCTGTTAACAAGTAAATGGTTCGGATATCCTGATCCTATGTTCAGGCTTTTGCGGTAGCTGGTCTTATTTATTTACAGGAAAAATCAGGAATAGTTTGATAGTTACCACCACATATCAGTAGAAATCACCAGTCCACTTTTCCTTGTTCTGCATTCCCACCGTAGCAGAAGTTAAAAGAAAAATTTTCGTATTTTTATCAAAAATGCAATGAGCTTGCTTCTAGAGTCTCAGTATTGTTTTATGAATCAGACAAGTTTGTAAACTAGTATCATGAAACAGGAATGTTCGTGCATTCTCAAACATGATAGCCAGTCAAGCCGATCACGCAAAAATTCAAAATTCCGGGCCAGAGATATTGCAATCTAATGTGATCTCATCTATCTTTGATGAGACATCATTAAGTACGACATCTTTGTCTCTTCTATGGGGTGATCCTTCCTTCAATGTGGCGTAGCTCTCGAATACAGTACAAGGGGACAATAAAAAAATCCTTTTTCTGTGGTCCGGTGTACCTAAAACTCAATATGTTCTAGGCGAATATAAATCTACATCCCAGTCGCTTTTTAAGATTTGATGAGTAGTTATTTCGAAATTCCTAAACAGACTGATACAGATTCGGATTGGTGAGATGGTAGCTGCATGGCTCAAAATGCGTTGCCTTGCGCGCCATGTGTATAAGATTTAAATGTAACCTATGAATTTGAAAGTCAAAATTTTTGTTTGATATAAGGCAGTAAACCAACTAGTCGCGGATTTCGGAGGGAATGTGAGAACGAGACTACTGTGGACACAAACAGGTGGACTTATTCAAGTAACTGGAATCTCAGAGCAAAAGCTTCACAATAAAGCTCCACAATCCGGGTGAAAATGCCAATTTTATTCTGTAATATTACAGAGAAGTATCAGGAAGGTCACAAACATGAGAGCAACCGCTGAGTGCCCAAAATCCACCGAGACTCTCAGCTCCGCTAGATTTTGACCAGACAGACAACGCCCCCTTAATATGCAGCGCCTCACATTTCTGTATCAAGCCCAAGCAGCGAGAGTCAGCGTTGATCAACGTCAGACAACGCCTTCGCAATATGCAGCGCGTCGCAGCCTCGTGCGAAAGCCAGACCGTGTGCGTCAGCATGGGACCGAGTTCAGATATTGTCCCTCCAATAAATAGCTTGAGACCGTCGTGCATTCGCACTCGCTTATTCGGAATATAGCTGTTGTGTTCCCTTCTGTGTTTGGCAATTAGACACTGCAGCGGGTCAGCAGCAGATACCACAGATTGGCGAATTAGCAGACATAACAAGAAGCAACTCAAACAGACAAGGGTCAGATACCTCTGACTAGGAATAGAAAAATTGATTATGAGCACAAACAGAGGAGACTCGGAATCGCAAACTACATATTATGGCACAGGATGTCTACCACCGATTCGTTAAGCAAGTCCTTATGAGTGGCAGTACCACTCTCAGATAAAAGGCTTGCAAAGCCTGGAAACAATATATTTCCCTCCTATTGGAATAAAGCACGCCATTTCTACGGATCGCCAAGGGCCATAAGAAGAAAAAGAATCTCGCACGCTAGTTTGCCACTTCCTATCAAAATCTTTGGATGGAAGTTTGAAGCTCTGAGAAGAGTCGCTCCTACGAAACAGGTTATCAGTTACACCCTCATTTTCGTCGTTTGAGCTTAGCCTTTTGAGTGTCACGTCCTGTGCTAAGATCAATACACTGTGTATGGATAGCCTTCGCCTCCTCGTAGTTCCTCAGAATGTGGCAGGATTTCATAGTTAGCTGTTGGAAACGTTGATTCAAACCGGGTTTAGAAACTGGGCAATATGTTCACGAATACTTTTTTTCTAAATCAACTACTCATCTTTCTAACGTAGCTGACAAGTTACAATTTCTTGGTTGATTCAGTCTGAACTTCCGCTCCACACCTTGTTCGCTTACCGCGCACCAAGTTTATAGGTGTAAATCTCGCTGTGAACCATAGGACAAGAATCAATCAATCGCGCTGTCAACCTAATCATCGTGAGATCGAACTGTGTTTCACACGAAGTGGTTCACGAGTGACCATAATTTTAGCCCAAGAATCAGGCCTCAATATCCTGAATGATCATTATTCAAGATATTTGGCTCCACCCTCTGCCTTGCCTTAGATAACTTTTTATCCCACAAAACTCATTAAAGTCGTTTTTTTCTGTCAAATTTTGGGTAGTAGCTTGGCAGCTTAGCGTACGGACTCGTCCTACTGTTGATGAAGTAAATGTTTACGACACACTACCCTAGATTGAATGTTTATTCTCTTTTGATTTGACTTTCTCTGAGAAACAGTAGCTCATTCTAGGGCGAAACAGGTAAACGGACCTGTCTGTGAGTATTCTAATGATAATAGAAAACAGTCAAGAAAGTAGGGTTGTTCACAATAACCGTTGCGCATATCATTACCGAGTAGTTGCCGATATAACCACTGGAAGCTTTTATGTTAGTTTGGGCCTATGACTTTCGCTAGCATGCATGGCATTTCTTAGTACTAAAATTATCGAAATTATGTGATCTGTATGGTTTGACGGGTCCCGACTGCAGCCGTCAACTGTTGTGCTGCAATCAATGCTTTTGATATCTACTTTTCTCACATCAATTCAGGTTTATACGTCTGGTAGTAAACCTGGACCAGTAACCATCCCTGCTCGGAGCCGCAGCGCCCAACCAAGTCCCGGTCCCAGTCCACTGGCAAGCCCCAACACATTTTATCGTGCTTCGGAAACCAATCTGAACCAAGACTACGGGGCGGACAAACGTTCGAGGATCACGAGGTCACAGCAATTTGAGCTGCAGACGCCGGCACGTCGGGGCGCATCTTCACCACCCAATTTGGACAAACAAAAGTCTCAGTCGTTTGTGGTTAACGGAACCGAAGTGAGTGTCCACCTTTGCATGAAAGAAAATGGCTCGGCATAATGCTCATCAACAGCAAAATGACTGGGTATTCTCGAATTCAGCTCACCGCGAATTTCGTCAACCTACAAAAGAGATATTAAGTCCTTGAATGGGTGCTGATTGCTCAAAAGCAAAACTGAGCCTATTCGAATTCTACTTTCTCCTATTACATTAGTAAGACGAGACGATACAGTTTCTGAGAACTGTGCATTTTATTTGCATTGTGAAATGCAGAACGTGTACAAACTCTCGGTAAGTGCAAAAGGTTGGACGGCAATTACAAGCTACTTCAGATACCACGACCCCACGAACAGTTCAGACAAACACAACTTATAAAATTGCGCTGAATATCTTAGTTTACTTGAACTGAACGATACACTCTCAACATGCGTTGTTGTAGAAGAGATTATAACACGCTCATTTATAAGTAGTCAGGTGCTATTTTCCAAGTGTTATCTAAAGGCGTACTTCCAAATTTACTACAAACTGCCAGTTACCAAGCTACACAGGTGCTCGTTTAATCGAAATTCTTTCAAACCATGTGAAAACTTGACAAACCTCTTCAGACTTATATGTGAGCTTAGGCCATTTATCTGTCGTGGCGATTTACGCATTCACATTAGCAGTAAAAACTGCTGTTTGAGATGGCGATGAAGCTTCTTTCTACCAGGAGCTCGGAGTGCTGGGACGCCCGATGAAAATAACAGCTTTAAAGGTCATCGGCAGCTTACTTTTGTATTATTTCAATTGGATTGTAGAAAACTATAGAAGTGTAGTAATTTTCCTCTACTTTGCTTTATGCTTGTGACGTAATCCGTTAGGCCATCGTACGGAATTCCATTATGTGGTCGTGTAAAACCCAACGGCTGTGGAGGACGAATCTGGTTATGAAGAAGCAACGGTGTCACATGTCAAAAATACAAGTGAAGATTCTATTAGGAAGCGATCGGTATAATTCGAAAACGATTTGGCAGTGAATACCTATGTTGGATCTCACCATTGTACTGTGTATTGCACTAAAACAAGTAACTTACAGTACACAACCAACAAAAACGTCGCATAGTGCGACGTCAGAAAATGGATATGGAACATTCTGTAGGTATACTTGACAGTGTGGCTATTCAGAACACCGATAGACTGGGCCGGATTAGGCGTCATATCAACGTCTACCAGCATTAGACTGAACGCAGATCAATTCGGTGGACACCAGGATTGGTTCCGTTCACTTCACCTGTTCGAGATGGTCTCCTATGATGGAGACCATCCAACAGTTTAGTCGCTTAGAGCAACCGAGTGAGCCAGAAATAATATATTCTGTTTCGCGGATACATTTGTGCTTATATATGCATACCTGTTATGCATTTTATACATTAATCATATTAAGAACCTGAACTGTGGACATGTTGATACTCTATACTCGTATAACCCGAATAATTAATTTGTTTTAAACTGACTTATTCGCCGGGCCAATATTGGATCTACTAGTTGATAGGGAGCCAAATAACACCATTCTACAAGTGCGGCAGTATCGAGCGAGAACTGAGACACTTGTGTTCCACGAAAGTCTCTTAAGACGTTGACTAGTGAAATTTTCTATGATCTCACAGTCTTTCAAAGATGCTGTCACGATTGCGTTGATTGTTCTCAACAGACCGGGATTGGTTCAACAGTGTACAACAATGTTCTCCTGATTGAAACATACGAGCTTTATTTCAACTTTGAAAAACCAGAGAGTCATCGGACTAGATCAGACTGCTGACCGAATGTTGGATTTTTTGGGAGATTCAACTCACGATACTGCCGGCGAATATTCTGATACCCACTGCAACTGTCTGAATTGCATCCATCAGTGTTTGCAAACGATAAGGTTTGGTAGAGTCAAACCTAAAATTCCTTGAGAGAAAAGTCACCTAAATTTTAAAAACTTGTTACAATCTGCTGGATGCCTTGTTCATTTGGCACATATAATCAACAACGTCTGATGATTAGGTAACCTACTTAGAAACATCTCAAACGAGAATTCAACTGGGTTCTATTTGTGTCTCCAGACAAAACGAAGTTGGCATGCAATTGAGTGTATTCCACTACTTTCATGCAATTTGGGTTCAAGCAAAACATGAGGTTGTCGAGAGTTGATTGTCGTGCCTACCTTATGAGTCCCAAGAAAGGCCAAACCGGTCGTGTGCTTTCGAAGTTTTAGGAAAACTTATGAGTTCTTTATTATCTGAACTATTCCAGTTTTCTGGGGAAGACATCACTGTATGCTGCAACACGGGGTAACTATATCGGCCTGGAAAAACCATATGAAGGTAATTGACTGGCTTGTCCAAGAAAGACAGGTCTGCATCATCAAATAAAATCTTTGTCAAGATACTAACTGTTTTACCTAGACCATCTAATGTATTGATGTCACCTGCTTTTCACTGTCTCTGTTTGACTTCTCATTCCAATATTCTTTTTCTGGCCTCTGCTTGCTCTTATTTTCACTTTATTTGGTACTTCAAGATTGCCTTGGGTAAAATGAAAAGACACCATTCAACTCACTGGATGTTATTGAATCAGATGTTGTAAGCTAGTTAAACTGCGTAAAAATAACCTGGTCTCTTCGATCCTTTTGCAAAACAGGATGATGCGGAGTCACCGATTCTTCCTTCCGTCCGAGAAATCATCCGTCAGGTGGAGGCCATGACACAATCAAATGCTGCTACATCCACGACGGACATCTCCACTATTGGTCAAGGTGGCGGACCCCCAAGTGGAATTCCACGTTACCAACGGCAGCTCACTCAGCCAGTGCAAAATCGTCGTAATGCCTCAGCCTCCACAGATAACTACGCTCGGAACGGAATACTCCGACAAGGCGGTAGCAGCCAACGTACTCCGAGTGCGCCACAGTTGCGCGCGACTCAGTACACACCAATGCAGGCGAAATTCAACTCAATCACCGCCGCAGCTTCAGCTGCATCTGCGCAAAATCGCAATGTGGCTCCACCCGTCCCGCCACACGGAACGACTCGTAGCAGCAAGGTGGGTCACACGTGGAAGTTATTACGCAACTTCTATCTTATTGTAGCAGAGTAAGGCAGCATCTTTAGTCTGACTTTATAATATTTTAGTGTTTATCTATGGTTAATTATGAACACCCCCAGGGTAGTTGTATACAGGGCAACTAACTTCAGTCATGTAAGACTGCAACCGCCGTGTAAAGAAATTTAAACTAGGGGTAAATTGGGGCGACTGCTCAGAACATGTAGACAGCCCAGTAAAGGAATTCCACCATGCTATTAGCAATATAGTAATCCATCCATTCTCCAGACAGTAATTTCAATCTACATACACGATCAAAATTGCAAATTCAAATTACCTTACACTTTCTAAACAACAAAAAACTTACCACGGTCACCTCGACTAAACACCCTGAATTTGTGGTCAATTACATAAGTGAACTGTGCCTTTTGGGAACCTTATTGAACAACAAAGAGTGCTGATGATAGGGCGCAAGATTGTTCAAGATGCCGTATAAAGGGAACATCCAATAATTTATAACTTTCACGAAGGAATACGAATGTCAAACCCAATGGTAATTTGGGATAATAAAGGACTAAGCTTACCTTGAACTGACCCCATTTTAGGACATCGGGTCTGGACGGTGCTTTTGCTGGTCTTCGCTTCAAAGCTATTAACACAAATGCCAGCAAACCACAAGTTAGTTTGCTAAGAGAAGCTACTGACATTCTTCCCCTTTTGTTTTCGATTTCAGGCAATAATCGGTGCTTTTACAAGACGGGTGGATCCTGTGTATAACGACACCAGCCAGCCTCAGCGCTACGAAATGGCAAATGTGAGTGGTTCTGCCATAGAGTTTAATCCTATTCCTTATTAAACCAGCTAAGCCACAATCTTTGGAGGAGCGTATCAATCTAGTAAATAATGTATACGATTTATGTATATATATGTAATGTATAAGTAGCTGATGATTACATTAATCAGAATCTGGGGCAGCTCTAGTAGGTTTTTTCTTCGTTCTTTCTCTGATTTTGAATGAAATGCAAAAGCAATTGAATTACTGGTAGCCGAGATACGTCTAAGGAAAGTTGAACAGCACTACTTTGTGAACGTTTTCACATTTTATGCTAAACCTGCCAGCTTTATTGAAAGAAAAATAACCAAAAAGACAATACTTTGCTCATAAGTTTGCTGAAAACTCTTTGACAGCCGACGACCAGTTTCACCCATTCAGGTAGGCGCGGTGTCCAACTTTCCGTCAACCTAATGTTCTACTTGGTATCAAAAAATGCACGAAATTAGCGAAATACACTCAATTGCATACATATTTGATTCTGACGAGGACGCATCCTGAACCAAGCTGGGTATCTCGTTCATGGTGTTTTTAAGCAACCGAATTTGTTGCCCAAAGAACTTTTATCTTCCGCTTGATACGATACTCAAAATATTGTACATGTATAGACGTATTAAAATGCTCAAAATGTTGCTAAAACTTTTCAGAAGTATACGACTAGTTCCAGGTGAGCCTGTCATCAAGCAAATCGGTCTGCAACTCAGTGTATTTTGCTAACCAAAAGAATCGTTCTAGAATATAGAGTGGAAAGTGTATACGATTGCCCCCAATTAGAGGTCCCCATTAATTTACGACTGTACAACACAGGAAGTCATTTCCCACAGGGCTGTTTGTTAAGTGTAGTCATAAGTGGACATACTATCAGATATCTTGAAATTTCATCTTCCTCTGTTACACCACGCATCTGTTTCCTACTAACCAGGATCTTCGTGAAAAATACGTTTCAGTAGTCGTTTTCATGCTGAGGCTTTGTTTGACAATTTACAACCGTAAAACTGCGGAGACTAGCTAAGAAATGTGTTAAATAATGAGAAGGCTGAATAATACTGTTCTTGACAAGTGTGAAATATGTGCTAGCAATTCCATTTTATTATTTTTTGTTGTACTTTTATTAGATGTAATTATTTATATTATATATATTCATATATGTACATATTATATTTTATGTATAAAAACTGTGAGTACACGGACGTGATCAATAGGTTAATGGGTACAGTAAGTGGGACAAAGAATGAAGTGTATGCTATTGCAGTGAATCCGGAAATTTGTCGAGACTGTATGGTCACACAACTCGACATAAATCACCACATGATGTACTTGGCCCATGAAATGGCAATTTCTCAACGAAAATTGAACGCTTTGAGCAGAAGATAAACGCAGTTTATCTTCCTATGAATTTATTAGTACATTACGACTAAACCTTTTCGTCTAATAACCAGGCACGCTGATCACAATTGATAGATTCCTCTGTAACAGTTGAAAATGTTAACAAGTTATACGGTTATCTTTTTTCCCTGACAGTAAGACAACGATTGTCTCATTTTTCCATTTGGTCTTCTGTCTGTCATAACTTTCCGATCAGATAACATTAATTAGGAGTTACTTGTAATATTTGACGTTTTTGCTAGAAATTTGTCTGTATCAATTCCATCCCAACAATTCGACTGTTTTCTTGACTTGACTGCGTAGGCCTGCACAATTTTATCGATCAGCTCATACAATCTTCCCGCTGCTAAGTGCAACGAACTGTGGCTTACTCAACCCATCGTGCCCTAACTGAGTTTTGCAACGCATGATAAAGCAGCAAGCTCTTTCAGGTTTCAATTTTTGGGTTTTTCGGCATAGGTATTTTTGCCCCTAGCCACACCACTCTTGTTTGAACCACTGTGTTCCTGTTTTGGAGTAATTATTCCGGTGAGTCCACACTGGACCCGAGATTCGCTCTTATTAGAGCTCATCAGCAGTACATATCCAATGGTTGTGCCGGGATTTGAACCCCGGATATCTGACATGCGATGCGAGCGTGTAACCACTACTCCAGCAACGCACGTTGGACGCATCTGAGTTATCACGTCTGAACATGCCAACGCGTTCACAAATGAGCGATGTGATTGGTGTATCCGACTCATCGAACGACGACCCAGTAACTGTCTCGTGACGATCAATGAGATGGGACAGCATACAAGTGCTTTAAGAAGGATCCGCAATGTGAACTATTGACTTACAGTTACAAATTACTCTATTTACATCGTCTTTTGTGTTTTATTGCATGCTTGAACTCGTAAAGGCAGAATGCCGATACCTGTAAGTGGCACGTCACATCAACACATGTGAACTAGATGAGGACTGTTGCGTTGAGTTTTACTTGGAAGTTTATTCAACCTGGTACAAACTGAAGTTCAAACCCAGCGTAACTGAGATCGCCTGCATCCAACTTGAGAGCTGTGGCATATCTATTAGATAACCGACGAAATGCGCTTGAGAACAACACACTCCTCACATGTATGATGAAAGAAGAGACTATGATCTGCCCCGGTTTAAATGTTTGGAACGCACGGAACGGACGGTGTATATTGCAGACAAGGGCTGCGGTCAGGTAAACTGGGTGATCGCCATGCTGACACTGTACGAAACAGCTGAACACTTCGTCAGTCAAGAATTTAACGTAAATTCTACTGAGGAATAAGAAGAAGTGTACAGTCAATGTGTAGCAGTGGGCACTTTATGACGAGTACTGGAATCAATCTGGCGTTTGCCAAATAAACATATGTGGCCAATTACGTCATTAGACGGTTTCTCGTGGATTTCAAAACTCTTGAGACATCGGACAAGCTTGGCGAACAAAGTATGTGACCTAATAAATAACAAATAAATAATAATGATAAATAATAGTAAATAAATAATAAACAATAAATCAATTATAATAAATAATGGAATAAATAAGTAATAAAATAAATAATTAAACAATAATAATAAAACAAAATAAATAATTTCAGTAAAATAATAATAGTAATGTAAACAATAAAAATAAATAATAAGCTGCAGAAGTGTGTAATTCTGTTGTCCTTTTTGGCCATTTTGTTCGAGGTGTGCGTAGGACTATGCGAGTAAACAGATGGAAGAAATTTAGTCATAACCCAAAAGTGCTTTCAGTACCCGACCTATTCAGAAAAACTTCAACCTCCTTCATTCCGATTTCCATTCCTACGCGGAAGATTCTTTGCATATATTCACAAAAGATACTGTTGGTGTTCTTTATTTCGTGGTCATCGCACCCATTGACGTGCATTTTCACGAAAGACATAAATACTAAATTCCAATTCTAAACTTTAGGCGCAATCAGTGAACAAGAAAACTGAACTCTTGAGTCATTTACCCAATGACTATCAAAAGGTAAGTTTAATTATTCATACCATGAGAAGCGCTTTATGCAATTTTGCCAACAGGCTGCTCGATTATGGAGACATCAGGTAGCATTCGAAAATCATTTGTTGAAGGGTTACACAACTGTTTCCTTGTGAGGGGTGTTTGTTGAAGGCTTTCTTTGGAAAGGTTCTCTTGGCCGACGCGATTATCCAAAGTAACCAATAAATTTGTTATGACGTACATCATCACTGAAGCATGGTTGTCTTATCAATTAATTTTATCTCTTATTGCTGATATGGATTCTGACCAGATCATGCAAATTCCCGTTCGTGTCATAACCAGTTCACGTCACTGTACACGAGAACGGCCAAGAGTCTTGTACAGTCAGTCGGGTTATTCGGTAGGATTTAGGCAGTGACGAAGAGCTAACGGTCTGTATTGGTGCTTTAACATATCTACAACCGACCAACAAATCTGAGCAGGCAACACCATGTAATGAGTCACATCCACTTAGGCCCGTACATCCGTTGGCGGCGGTTAGCGATCCAATCCCAATCCGGGGATTCCCAACCTTAGAGTACCTTATTTAGCGTAAAAAGATGTCTGTAACTATGCTTTCAATACATTCGAAACGCTTCTGTTAAATATTCGGCAGCTAATTTCATTCGTTCCTCATTTGTTCTTTAGCTCCGTGAAGCATTCATTGAACAACGGCGTGAGATTCAGCGTCTGAGGAAACAGTTGGCCGAAAAAGATTTATTAATTGGTCAGCTACAAAGTGACATTCGATTATACGAACCATGGAGATAAACACTCAGACTTCAACACCTTGCTTTCGTCTCCTCGAGGAACGTTTTCGAAGGGAGTTCGCTTGCTACTATCAATGGGCGTCAGTGCAATCCCACCCTTGCTGGTTATCCCTCTTGTCCATACAAGACATACCTCTTGACCAAAAATGTGCTGTTTTTAGGCCTATGCGTAAACCATCTTTCAAACTGACGGATTTGGCATCCAACCGCCAGATACCCTCCCTTTCTTCATAGGCAACCTTCGTGGGGTTCCATTAGAAGTAACTCACGAAAGGTCCATCAGTCTGCTATTCTGTACTGTATCTTCTTTAATGGGTTCACCATTATCACACTTGCCTTGTGTCTGTGCCTTAAAAAAGTCTTCCTTATTCACATTTCTGTTATCAGGGCTTTTACTCTCACTGATGTGATTATATGTGGCGTGAAATTCGACGCTTTTTCTTGCATGGACCGCTCTATTTGAATACCAATGGCATAAGTGATCAAGAGATGTTACTAAATTTGTGGGTGCACAAAATTGAGAATCGACCCGGGAATTTTGTGCTGTTGCGTCAGCGTTCAACACCGCAGATTCTGGGACAGTGGAAAGTGATCCAGGCATCTCCTTCATAAAAATAATGTCCTGGAGTGGCATCGTTTGGCGGTATGAATTTGGATAGAAAAGCGCTTGGGAAGAAAATCTGCGACCTACTCAACGCAACCAAAAGTTACCTCCCCGAATATCATCAAGCAAACCGATACCAAACAGCTGGGTAAATTTCACAGGTCCATACAAAATATGAAAGGCAGACGGGACTGCAACCAATACAGGGGCCAAGTAATTGCTTGTATCGAATAACCATCTGTGGTGTCCTAATTCTGACGGTTATCTGTGCAGCACTAGGCTTTTAATACTGGAGTTTTGAACTAATGCAATCCAAGTAGCCAAACTGAAAGTCCTTTTTAGTGATAGCGATTTAGAGTTTTCCCCAGCTACCCCTCCAATCGCCTCCGTCCGATAGACCATGAGAAGTAAAGCAGAATCAAATTTCCCCCTTCGGCAAACGATTTCTGAAGGTGACTATAACTGGCATTATTTTATTGGGTCAGCAGTCACAATGTGGCCTCGTCGTTATGTGTAGGCGTTAATAAAATTTCATGTACAAGATGATATGAACATGGGAAGATCTCAGTTTCATCAAAATGTACATGAGTATATGAATAAAACATCCTTCACCATTTACAAAGAGGTTATGTCTCTATAGTGTATTGTTAAATAAATACGTAAGTTGCTTCAGTTATGATTGTCTATGTGTCGGGTTTCTAAGTTACAGTGAAATAGCATCTCGCACTTGTTAGACCGTCTAACCGTGATGGTATAAGTTTTTAGTCAATGGAAAGCAGAAGGTCGTGTTTGGACACAAATCTGAGCGGTGAATTCCCTTTCTTTTGTGAATCGCATTGAAATGTTGAGATAATCGAAGATGTAATTTCTTGATTACTAATTATGCCATCTGCCAGTCCAGGGTGGGTAAGTCTTTGGGCAGAAAAAATAGATCAAACAGACATCATTTATCCGTCATGTGGTTTTTGGTTAAAATAAATAATAAATAATAATAATAATCATTCAGCTGTAGCACCCTTTCGGTGCCTAGCTGCCTTGCCACACCAAGGAGGCACGAGGGCTGGGATACTGCCAGGTCGCCCAAGCCTGGACAGGGAGAGTCGGCTGGCAGAGGTCGGGTTCGAACCACGGACCTTTCAGTAAGTAAATTCGCGCTCTAACCACTTGAGCCATCTGGACCCCTCGAGCCAAATAATAACAGACATTCGCAGCAAACGCAACCAAAGATCTTCATTTCTCTTAATATCACTTTCCAAATTTGTAGTGGGCTTCATCATGATTCTATGTTCAACTGGTCGAATTGAAATGTGGATTGTTTCTAGTGCAGATACACTGGAAATTGTTTTTCATTTCAAACGAATGATGAACAAAAAGTCCTTGCCTTATCTGGTACTTATTCTGGGGAACACCAGGACACTCGTTATCAGAAAATTTTTTGCAATATTCACAGTTCAACTGCAATTGCCGCGACACAAGTTGGCAGAGTGAGTAGCTGCAGAAGTAAACCAATACCGGAGTTGCCAAAACCCCCATTTAGCCGGTTCATCTTTGGGGTAAAACAGACTAGAATTCCCAGCTCGCGCTTTAACCACAAAAAATCGGATTGATCTAGGAATGTTGTTCTGTTACACAAAACCGCAAAGGGGTTCCACCAGAAGCAAAAATTTAGTCAGTCCTGGTGAGCACAGAATTCAGTCGATTTTATTACCAAAAACCGTACAGTGAAATTGACTGATCGACGTATTCAATCCATCTCCGTTAAAAAACTGCAGACGTTAGAAACGTGTCGCGACCGACAAGATGAAATGAGGGTTTTTCTGTTGCCCTGGGTGAGTGATTCTGGTCTCAACTACCAAATTTACTGCTCTCTCCCTCATTAGCGGATGCAATCGGTATCAATAAATTTACACGCTTTGCATAAACCCACTACAAACCGCCTGTCATCATTCGGCAACATTTACCATAGTCGAAACCTTGACAGTACTTAAATGGGGCTCCTGCAAAATTTCAACGGATGAGTGTAAGTAGTCGTAATCACTAATGACCTACAGTGTATTCGGGTGCCTGTCACTGAAACAGCGAACTTTTCATTCAGGGCACTTGCCTCGGAACGCTACCACTGGATTCCGATACGTTCAGCTGGGGTATACTTAACTGCCATGCAACTCGAAGTAAGCATTAATGTTCAGATATCGCCAGATTATTCCGGTCCAGAGAAGAGAAGAGCCGTCTGAAAATTATTAGATATTTGAATTTGAATCAAAATTAAGCTCCCTCTTAATATGTGCTCGCAAGTGGTTTCCCTTTTGCTCCAAAAAATATAACTGCGTTCTTAAATAAAGTAATCTAAGTAATGGAATCTTTTCCAGATAAGCCCTGCCGAAAAATTAACCCCATCTACTCAAAAAAGATTGGAAAAAAAGAATATATGGAACTTCTAAATGTGTTTTTATTGATTTGTTTGCATGAAAAGGTCCGTTTTTCGGTACCTTTGCCTCCAAATGCACTCACACAAGTAGGTGTCCACTAAAGATCGGTGTGTGCCGCATTGGAGTCTAGTCTGCATCTGGTAGACGTGTCAAAGAGATTCGATGGTTTGTGTGTGGGCTCCAGTCGTTGGATTCACAAAGTTTTCGGTATGGTTGACCGTTGGAGTGTTCAAAAGCCGCCTGACGCGCACTCCGCGAAGAAAATTCTTCCAGTCAATCGTGTGGCTAATAGATAATTCCTCTGAGCAAAACCTGATTTTTGCCAATTTCTCGCCGATAGTGCCGGGCATTACACCTTCACCTGTCAGAAACATTTGGACGTGTCATTTGGTGGCCATTATTGCATAAACGTTGCTGATGGATCACTCCATGGTTTTCAAAGACGTATTGCCGTCTCCTTATCATGAACGAGAGGTGAAAGTGTCAAAAAGTTCATTTAGAATTTTACGTCCGAACGGAAGAAAATTTTTGCACAAAATGAGCCTAGATGCAGATAAGGAATTGTTTTCATCAAAAATAGGTCAAGGTCGTATGCGTACATTGAATTGGCGCTGGCGAAAAGTGGCGGGGATTAACTTTTCACACATGAACCTTTTGTATTAGTGACGGGGCTTATCTGGAAAAGTTCCAAACACTGAACATCTTACGTCGCTATACAATGAAGGTGAGACAACCTTCTCACGTGGAGTGCACAGAAGGTCTAATGCTCCCAACTGTGCTTTTGTGTGGGAGCCTATGGTGACTGTAAAACAGTGGATTTACGTATGCAGAGAGGACGTTTCTCATCTGACAACAGGTACAGGGGAATGACCTTGCCTACGGATGGGAAACGCTTCGGTTCTTTGATAAGCGACTTTGAAAGGCACACCCAGTTTCGCTTTGCCTGCTAATGTCAAAACGTTCTATTTGTCGTGATCAAAATTCACAACAGTGCGTGAAAACACTTGGTCCGTGGGCTAGAAATTGTTATTCGCAAGCCAAAAATAAATGAGCAAACACGCATGTTTGCGCAGTTTTGTAAATATTCAGGAGAATACGGAAACACCCATTGTGTTATGCCCGACCGATGCACCTGTGTGACCCACAGCCGACGTGTCTGACCCAGTAAGCCCTTCGATAAACAACGGATGGACAAGCCTATAGCTACTGTAAACAAATCCTTAACGGTTCCACGCGGCAAACTTCCTTGTGTTTGTCCTGTGCTAAATGTGTGTGACGATGTGCAGGGTGCACTTTAGCCGCACAGTCCCTAGCACCCTGTTTGACAGCGAAACAGTGCCCCTGAATTCTGGCCGTCAGAGGCTTACAAACTATTGGGTGTCTGATCCATGGGTCCAGACTAATCAATATGGATTCATTTGATCGATTGCCGAACGTTTCAACCGGGAAAAGTTGTTTTTTTTTCAGCAAACGTCATTTCATCCTGTGTGTGTGTGGGGGGGGCGCTTGTATCCCTGGTGGTTGAACTGGAACAAAAACCGTATTTTTAGGAGACCAGTGAAAAAACATACTCAACAGGATGTAGATGCTGGGGCTTAATCCGTCTACAGCCGTCGTTGTATTAAACAGTTTGCATAAACAAATGCTATTCAACAGTAGAAATCCGAAATAGTAGTGTAATGAAAAGAAAGTTTGATATGTTTAAACTTTCCCAACTTCTGTGCGGCACATTTCAGCGGAAGGTTACTTGAAACGAAGGATTTCCGTGATATCCATCTGAGTCTCTCAGTAATACC